CCTCTTGTTATTGCGGCCTAATTGTCAGTCATGCTTAGTTTAAAGCCCCAGATGTTGATGATGTGCCCATAATTACACAGGATCCACTAAGATCACAGATATTTTTTATTTTACGCCCAGAACCAGATTGATTCTCTCAGAACTCCGCGGTAAACCGGTTATGTCTCCGTTTATTTCGAATGATGTCAACAGATATCAACTGACAAGATCTCTATTGATTGACCTCTACTGATTTCTACTGTCAGTTGAGACCAGTTCATAATATCTACTGATCTCAACTGATCAGATACCTAATAGGTATGTTGGGTATAGGTATATAGGTACTCAGGTTGACGTCAATAGNGTCAACTGACAATTTCTACTGACATCAACTGATCAGATACCTACTGATGTCAACTGATTTTTTCGCACCAAAACACAGTTGACGGTCAACTGATAACATCTCAACTGATCATTTTTACCAGGGTATGACTTTGAGTTTTCACCGACTCAAAAAGGATCAGTATTCTCTATGGATGACTTTTAAAACAGGCGATGAGAAAAGTATCACCCCCGTGAGGCTGAAAAAATCCAAATTCGAAAAATTAAACAGCTTGAACCTAAAGCTGTCTGTTCCCTCAGAATTTAGAAGCTAACGCCTCTTCTAGACGAAGATGGACTTTGAAGAGTAGGTGGCAGGCTTCAAAATGCAAACATCGCGCTCAACGCTCGTCACCCCCTCCTCCTCCCATGTGAGGACAAAATGCATCCCACTCTCCAATCCTACCAGCAGAGGCCTGTAGGAAGCCGCTGTTAAAAGTATGAAGTCTCAAATCTTCGGCAATCTTGATATTATTTGTTTCTCGGTAACATTTACGAACATTTAAGGATCCAATCTTTTGCAACAGACATTGACATTTCTTGTTGAAGCATTTTTTTGTGTGCATATTTTGCTCTCATCGCAAAACGCATGGGAACATGCCGCATTGACGGACATGTAACATGAAATCTAATTAAAATAATTGAAATTCGTAAAAACCAGCGTGTTTGTCAGTTTATCAGCAATCAGATAAACTCAAGAAAACGTCGATCCGATCATCCGTTGGCCCGCAATGGCCAAAGTCCGGTTTCTAATGGATCATACCTCGGATGTTTTGCTGGACAAAAGCTGGGTGGAGGCAGATCAGTGTACAAAAAGCTTTTCCTATGATTTAATTACAATTTGCCTTTTTGTCGCAGAAAACTTTAATGAAGGAAGAGACAAAAAAGTTAGATGATGATGCCGAGTCGGACTCATGATGAACCAGTCATACCTTTATAGGAAAAGACGAGGTATACCACGAATCAGCCTAAAAATCAACTTAATGAATTCTATAATTCGCTTGGATCTGACGAGGATGTATTTAAACCAAAAAAGAAAAGGATGTGTACCACCAGGTTTGAGTTAGGAGAAGGATCAAGTACAATGACTCCAATCAATAATGACCTAGTTTTTGCAAAAATTCAAGATGCTCGCGACATAGTAGCATCTTTTAGAAGTAGTGAATCCCTCGGAATTCCGCCTCATCCGTCGAGGTTTTGGCTGATTTTTCATGTTTACGTCAAGATCCATCCATATGGGTCATAAATTGCGCAGATTTCCTCCCGCTCGGGGTAAGCCCCATCACGCCCCATCCGTGGCTCGTGACGTCAGCATTACTGCCGCGAAAGCGGAAAAGCACAGATACAATGCTTTTGTTATGGGACAGAGCGAATTTTTCTTAATGAATCATTTAAATTTCTTAATTTTAAATCGTTTGAAACTTTCTGAGTGTCGAAAGGAACGTTTAGACATCAGCATTCAGGGTTTCGATTTTGCCGAATTTATATTCTTACATTTTAACAGTTTACTCTGCATCAGCCATTTTTGCACGCGAATGTATACCACTAGATGGCTTGTGGCAATCGCTGACTTCAAAAATCATTTGAAAAAATAAAAACGAAAATTCAGCTGAATTGAAACTCTGGACGCTAACGACTATACGTTCCTTTCGACACTCAGAAAGTTTCAAGCGATTTACAAGTGAGAAATTTAAATGATTCATTAAGAAAAAATTGCTATCTCCCATAAGAAAAACATTGATTCCGACTTTCCTGGTTTTCGCGGCGGTAATGCAGACGTCATGCGCAGAAGATTCTCATCAAATGTTTGAGTCACTCTCCAGGTTTTTCACTCCTAAATCCATTTTCTTCTTTGACTTTCAGATCTCACAATGGAGGAAAACGTTAAAGAGTATTTGAAGAAATTGTTGGAGGACATGACTCAGAATGCATCAACGTCACCCCAAAAACCAGCGAACGCTCAGCTCTTCGCCTCAAGTCATATATTCCAAAAAAAGAAGATGCCTGAAAATAAGCCACCTCTTAAAGATAAGTTAACGCTACAATCTATGTTCGAAGAAGAGCTCAAAAAAAGAGGAAAAATTAAAGAAATGCCCGTGATGCCGCAATCAGACGCTGAATTTAGCAGATGAATGTGGAAGTCAACAGTCATCGCCCAACGGCTGAAATTCAGCAAATTCGAGTTATTTTCATACAGATGTGTATCAAATCTACTCGAATAGTTCAGACAAATTCAAAATTGGTCCGATGGTTGCTGAGAATCGTTGCTGAATTTTGCGCGTCACGCGCAAAATTCAGGCATCGGGCCGATGACTTCCACATTCAAGCCACATTCAGCGTGTGATTGCGGTGTGAAAGAAAAACCTTTTTATAAGGATATTTTTCTTCTCAAGAACAAGCATCGAACTGAATCTCTTTCTCTAAAAGATAAAGAATAGACTTTAAACAATGATAAAACCAGAAAGGGTATGAAAAGTTTGTGGATAGTTGATTCCGGTGCTACGCATCATATGACGCCGTTTATTGACATTTTAGTAGATTTTGATGAAACCATTAAGGGAAGTGTAGTTGTAGCTGACGAGAGGAAAACCTCAGTAGAAGGCAAAGGTAATGTCGTTCTGAAATTAGCTGAGAAGTATGATAATAAAAACTTGAAATTAAACGATGTATCATTTGTTCCAAATCTTGATTGCAATTTGTTGTCAGTCAAACAATTAGATAACAGAGGCTTTAAATGTGTTTTCCAGAATAGCGTTGCCAATATCTTTAAGGATGACAAATTAGAGTTTACCACTTACGGTTTAGATAATAATTTGTATCAACTTCAGTGTAGCAAGTATGTAATCTCAGGTAGGAGTTTAATTTGTACCGTTTATGACGACGATACGCTGCAAGGTATGATCTCATATGAACATGCTTTCAGATCTGAAGTATTGTGGCACGAAAGATTTGGTCATTTGACAGAATTACCAGTATTTCGTAAATCACAATCTACAGTTATATGTGATGTTTGTGTGGAAGGAAAAATGTGCCGAAAGAAGTTTAATACCAGTCGAAACAATGCCGAAAATGTTCTCGATAAAATCCATTCTGATTTGTGTGGAAAAATCAATCCGAAAAGAATTAGTCAGGCTTCATACTTTGTGACATTTTAGGATGACGCCTCCAGATATTCAGAAGTTGCTATCTTGCGGTACAAATTGTCAGCAAGTTATGCACAAGTCCCTTGTTTAAGACCCCAGATCCAGAGCTCCTTAAACAGCATTTTTCTTTGCCAGTTATTCCAAGGTAAATACAGAAAGGTGTGTGGAAACGACGTAACATTTGAAGAATTTATTAATGAACTAAATTTTTTGTCTAACACAGGAATACAGGTTGAAGTACAAGGAGAAGTAAAACATTTGTATTTCGTCGTTTCATTATTAGTCGCTGACAATTTGGGGTACAACCAAATGCTAGGGTTAGTAGAGTCCTTTGTTGCCAATTATCCTTGTAGGATTTGTCGACTCAAACTGAGCGAAATACAAGTTTTATGTTGGGATGATCCTACAGCCTACCGAAACATTGAGAATTATGAGGAAGATCTGCAAAAAGACGATTATTCTTCAACAGGAGTAAAAACGCGTTGCGTATGGAACAGAGTTGAAAATTTTCACTTTACTACTAACTGTGCAGGGGATGCTATGCACGATGTTCTTGAAGGTGCAGCTGGCTTAGATATAATTTTTGTTTTGCATTCTTTAAAAGATGCTGGATATTTTACTCTTCAGGAATTGTACTTAAAAGTTGCAGACTTTGATTTTGGTGTTGACTGTAGGAATAAGCCTCCAGATTTTGCGGACGTATTTACTGATGATTCTCTGTCTCTCTCAGCATCCGAAATGCTAGTCATCATTAGGTACTTACCTTTGATAATTGGAGAGTTTATACCTCGCAACAACAGAATTTGGGAACTCTTCTTACTGTTCAGAGAATGTACTGATTTAATATTTGCACCGTCCCTTCAAAGGGAGTGTGTAGACTTATTAAAAACTTCGATCGAAGAGCATCATTCCTTGTACAGAGAGTTGACAAGGCGCCCTTTAACCTTTAAGCAACATATGATGACACACTATCCAAAACCTGTTTTTAAGATTTGGTCCTCCCCGTAAGACATGGTGCAATGGTTTTGAACGAAAGCACCCTGACTCTAAGAGAGCAGCTCTCGCATTGATATGCCGCAAAAACTCTGCCAAGTCAGTATCCAAAAAGCACGGGTTACGATTGGCCCATTTTAGCGGCTCTGGTGCTTGCACTAGAGCTGCTATTCCGGACGGTCCCAGCTGGGGAGTATCATTGGACCATGTTACATTGGAGAGACCGCGCGTTGGTTGATGGGAATCGGCGCCATTTTCTGCTGTTTAGGGGGGACTGATTTTATTTTAATTGATATCTTTTTCCTGTGAGCGAATGCTATGTTGTGTAGTGTATTTTTGGAATCATGGTGATACTGTCAATAATTCAAAACGGGTCTGTGCTTTAATCTCGCACTGGAAAAAATGTACTTTACGTTTAAAATTTGAAAATTCAAATCTATAAGTTTTCGCGCTTTTTTCGAAGAATGCCGTGGTTGGAGCTTCCTAGTCATACTACTCGACATCAGCTGATAGCAAACAAAGGTTACCAAGGAAACCGTAAACGCGTAACAACTACCGTCGCCAGAGCCGCTTTCCGACGCGAATGCGTCGGAGCTTCCTGCTTGTTTACAATTCCTCATCTTTATTCCATGATGTTCTCGATTCTGGACCCCGGGTGTCTGTGGTAAAGCAAACATTAGAGCAGCGCTATAATGTTAATTTACAAAATTTGCCAAATCCTCTTGAGGAAACATCTTGGATATCTCTTTATGGTCTTGTATACAAATCGACAATGATGCTTCCTTTTGAATTCTTTGAGGATCTACCATGTTTTGTTTGCATAACTAAGTTGTACTGAAGTACTTGAAAATTTAAGCAGTATGTTAACCAAGTAGAAGTCCTACACGAAAGACGTATAAAATGTTTACAATCGGACAATCGAGGAGAATATAAGAGTGATAAATTCGACCAGTATCTTGTAGAAAAAGGGATTAGTCATAACTTAACAGTAGCAGGGACGCCCCAGCAAAACGGTAGAGCCGAGCGACTTAATCCCACTTTACTAAATATTGTCCGTTGTCTTTTATTCCAGTCAGCCCTTCCAAAAGTTTTTGGGCAGAAGCTCTAAAAACAGCTAATGATATCCGAAACAGTTGCCCATCTCGTGACATTAATATAAAAATTCCAAGAGAAGTATGGTTTGGAAAAGAATTTACACCTGCAGACAGAGGAGATGAAAATTTTTGGGTGCAAAGCGTGGGACCTAGTTCCCAACGCAGGAAAACTTGAGACTCGAGCAGTAGAATGTGTGTATCTACGCAAGGCCAGCGGAGTAAAAGGTTACAGGTTGTACAGTTAACACGGAAATAAAATATGAATCTCTAGAGACGTAAGGTTTGAAGAGGATATTTTTCCATACAAAATGACTATTCCAACACGAATTGAGAATAGTCAGCCGATAATTGTTGATGTTTAAGACTATGATAGTGACGAAAACCCAATTCAAATTGAAAACGAGAATGTTTACCCAATAATAGACGTTAATCCTCCTAATAATGAGAATACCACTCTTAATGTGGATCACGAATGTCTTACTGGCCCTCGTAGATCAGAAAGAGCCAGGAAACCAAAAGTTTGTGAATGCTGTTCCAAAGATAATCGAAGATGGCTGATACTCCGGCTTTAGATGCAGAAACAGTGAGGAATGCACTGCAGAACGTCTTATCACAACCACAATTTTTGGCGCAAATTTCCTCGTGTCTTCTAACTGCTTCATCTGCAGCATCTGCCACACCTGCTGCAATAACTCCTCCTGCCATACGTTCTGTAGGTAACCCACTTGTTCCACCTCCTGCATGTATGCAACCTCAGTCTGTGTCTGCCACATTGACTTTACCTGCCGCATCTGCTCAGTCTCTTACTCAGTCCACCTCGAATGTCACACCCACTTTACCTGCACAATCTGCAATCCACTTTCCAGGGCGCTCCATCCTGCAACAGCCCCCTGGTAGTAGAGCACGGGCAGCAGTGACAAATTTAAACTTAGCTCTCAGCTCCGCGCTCAAGAAAAGAAAGCTAGAACAAGAGATGAAAGCTAATTCTCCTCGACCGATTATTTTTCAGAGCAAGCTTGTGTTACTCTCTAAAAGCGACTGTTATGACCCCATAAACAAAGGCGATGAACTGCACTTAGGTCGAAAGAAAAGATTCGCGGAAGGCGTAAAGTTTAACAGAATACGAGGGGTATTCGTAAAGTAAGTTAATATTTGTCATATCTTCTAAACTAATAAAGACAATTTAAATCTGTAAAAAGTTCCTAAATTTTCATACTCTCAGCTTTCCAAAAAGCTTCAGTTTTTTAAATTCGGTTGACTGAGTGCCGAGTAACATCAGTTTTCCCACACCCGTCTCTCGTCACTGCGTGTCCAAAATTTACGCGTGCTGAAAAGTTCGCAGTTTTCAATGTTTATCGCACCGATTTGCTGGATGAGATTTCTTATCATTACTTCAGTAGTCTTGATGCACAATAAGGCATAATCTTAGATATCATCACCCTAAAAGATACAGCTCAAATCGGTGCAGGTGTCCATCATGAATCATGATTCGGTCACCTTTAATCAGTCTCTTTTCGTTAATCATGGAAACTCCATTGCGAAACGTGTCTGATTGTGAGTTGCGCGCCATGATTCGTTTTTTTACGGCAAAAAACCAAAGTGCTGTAATTATTTATAGGGATTTACGTTCTGTTTATGGTGATTCGTGCATGAGCTATGCAATGGTCACAAAGTGGCGACTTGCTTTCTTAGAGAGGCGTGAAAGTGTTCACGATGAGCAAAGATCTGGCCGGCCGTCTTTAGTGAAGGACGATAGGAATGTTCTCGCGGTACAAAATGTTGTGGAAAACGACCGACGATTTACCATTGATGACATTCTTGAACGATTGCCTCCTAGTATTGAAATTGGGAGAACTGTGTTTAAAATTTTGACCGAGGAGCTCAATTTTTCGAAAGTTTGTGCGCGCTGGGTGCCCCGTTTACTGACTCCTACCCACAAGGAAAAGCGTTTGAGCGCGGCTCAATTTTTGTTCCAACTGAAGAGAGAGGAAGGCGATGATTTGTTTTCCAGGATTGTGACAGGCGATGAGACGTGGGTCCACCACTATACCCCCGAAACCAAAGAACAGAGCAAAATGTGGAAAACGAGAAAGGAACCTTCTCCAAAAAAAGCAAAAGCTGTTCTGTCTGCCGGAAAAATCATGGCATCAGTTTTATGGGATACATGGGACACAAACGGGAGAATTACAAAGGCCCGTGCATAAGCTGTATCCGTTGCCGTGCAGCTAAGCGCCCTCTCCGTCTTTACGCCGTCGCCATGCAAACTGAAACTACGCCTCTTCTGTGTCTGTCTTCATACTTCCGAATCCCTCACTCCCTCTATCTGTACCTTTTTTAATCAATAAGTTTATTTCCTTTCAGATAATGTCAAACCGAGAGGAACAGCCAGGTCCACAACAGCCCTTGGACGCCACGGGTATGAGGGTGCTCCAATGCGCCCCGCCACCCTCACCCGGAATGGACAGAGTTTTCGTCATTACTTACGTGCATAATTATGGTCATGAATCGAGAACCATCTACAGACTTGCAAATCCCGTTAGAGACGTGGGGGTGCAAACCGAAATGATTACGCCACCGCCTCAGTTTTCCGCTGCCACAAATCAACCACCGCCACCGCCTCAGTTTTTCGTTGCCACAAATCAACCTCCGCCGCCGCCTCAGCTTTCCAGAGAACAGATCGTCGCGGGCAGGGGCAGGGACATCAGCCCGAGGCTGCAACAGCGGCTCGGCCCGGCTCCAGAACAACGCCCGGGACCGCATTGTTTTCAGCCTTCGCCTAGCCTTGTACAGTTTCGAGTTTTATTTTGCCTTTGTTCTTCCAGTTTTGGATTTAGCTCCTCGAGCTCTAGCTTTCTGCTCCTTTTTTTTTTGTG